AAACATATTACTCTACAAATTGTTTATATGCTTAAAAGTATATCTTGACCATTTATTCATGTCAGCACAGATAGCTCTACTTAATTCTTTTTAATGGTTGCAGAGTAGTTTATTGTGTGAAGGAGCCATAATTTATTTAACCTACTCCTATTGATAAACACTGAGTTTTTTCCATTTGTTTTTCATTATAAATAATTCTGTCATTATTATATGGGTTTAGGTATCACTGTGCATCTGTGTGAATATATCTTGAGATAAAGTCCTTAAAGTGCATATAAAAGTTCTGAGTTAGATGGTAGGTATGTCCATTTAAAATACTGATAGATACTGACAAATTTCTTTCTAAAATGATTGCACTGATTTATACACCTATGACTGTGTATGGAAATATCTGTTTCTCATATACTCTCTAACACTGGACCTCAAGAAACATTTCAATCTTTGATAAGCTAATGGGTTTTATTAAAGTATCTCCTGGGAATTCCCTGGTGGTCCAGTGGTTATGATGTGGGCTTTCACTGCTGTGTGCCCGGGTTTAATCCCTGGTCGGGGAACCACAATCCCACAAGCTGTGTGGTGTGGCCAAAGAAAAAGAGTATCTCATAATTATTTTAATTTGTAGTTTTAAAACTATGAGTCAAGTGCATGTCTTTTCCTATGCCATTGGACATCTGTATTCTTTCCTGTTCATTTGCTTTACCTGTTTTTTCTACTGATAGTTTTTTCTTATTTGTTTTTAAAAACCTCTTTATATATTAAGAAAACTAGCTTTTTGTCATCTGTGTTCCACTTAAAAAAATTTTTTTATTCTTTGTTTTTTTGGGTGTTTTTACATACATATATAAAACATTTCTGTTTTAAGCAGTCGTTTATATCATTTTTCTTTGCCTTTTGTATTTGGAACAGATTTCTTTTTTTGGCCACACGACACAACTTGTGGGATCTTAGTTCCCCGACCAGGGATAGAACCCAGGCCTGCAGCAGTGACAGTGCAAAGTCCTAACCACTGGACTGCCAGGGAATTCCCTGGAACAGGTTTATACATTTATTTATTTATTTATTTATTTATGGCTGCAATGGGTCTTCTTTGCTGCATGCAGGCTTTCTCTAGTTGTAGTGAGCAGGGGCTACTCTTTGTTGTGGTGTGTGGGCTTCTCATTGCAGTAGCTTCTCTTGTTGTGGAGCACTGGCTCTAGGTGCACGGGTTTCAGTAGTTGCAGCATACGGGCTCAGTAGCTGTGATGCATGGGCTTAGCTTCTCCGCGGCATGTGGGATCTTCCAAGACCAGAGCTTGAACCCGTGTCCCCTGCATTGGCAGGCGGATTCTTAATCACTGTGCCACCAGGGAAGTCCTCCCTGGAACAGATTTTAAAAGGCCTTCCCCACTCGAAGTTTATTAAAAAATTTCCCTTATGGTTTTTTTTTCTAGTTTTATTATGATTTCATTCTTTAAATTTAAAGTTTTGATCAACCTGGAATTTCTTTTGATATAGAGAATGAGGTATGGATCCAACAGGCCTAACTGTCCCTATACCATTAACTGAATGATTTATCTTTTCTCCACTGATTTGCAATGTTGTATCTGTAAACACCCACATATATTTGGATCTATTTCTGGATGCTCCATGCTGTTCCATTTGTCTATTTACTTCACTTTCAGTAACAGTTTTAACTGTTGTAGCTTTATCATAACATTCTAAAATATGCTATGTTTTACTCATTTCTTTATTTCAGAATTTTTCTAGCTACCTTGAGTGTTTATTTATTCAGTATTTGTGTCATTTTGACAAGTTTTAAAAAGTTGGCATTTTGATTGAAAATGCTTTGAATTGATATATTACTTCGGGAGAACCGACATCTTCATGATACTGAGTCTTCCTACCTATGAACAAGCTATATCTCTCCATTTATTCTTTTATGTTCCTTAGCGGAGTTTTAAAGTTAAGTTTATTCCTCAGCATTCTACCTTTTTTATTTTGATGTTATTGTTAATGTTTTCCTCTATTATTTTTCTAGCTAGCTATTGTTTACTTACAAGAAAGCTAATGGTTATATTGATAATATTATACTATTATATAAGTATTACATATTTAGAATTAGAGTAATTTTAGTATTTCAACATTAGGCATAATTCTGACTTTGAGATATTTATATTCTTCTTCTGCTCTGTGATGTGACTTGAAAATAGATTGATCATAATACAAACAAGTCTTTGGTCAAGGGTCTACCTGAAAACCCAGCCCACATCCACAGTTACCTTCTGCAGATCCTGGACAGCTAAGCCACCCAGCTGGCTTTTAGCACCAACTTTCTAAATCAAGAGTATTCAACTCAAATTCCTTTCCAGGTTAGGCTTGTAAGATAATGAGAAAGCAGGTGGGTGGGGGCCACGTCTCCAGGGGCTGCTGCCACTAAGGCCCCGCCTACCACGACCATGTGGGAATACGGCCCAGTCTGGCCAGATCCTCTGATTTTTCAAGGGAACCCAGAGATCCAGATTTATAAAATTTCAATGTTGACTCAAATTTATAAAAAGTCCTACATGGGGCCAACTAACCATATGTGTGGGCTAGATTAGCCCTTTGGGCAGCTGGCCACCAGTTTGCCACGTCAGTAGACAGGAGTCTCGGAAATGCAACTATAGTCTCAGCGTTTACTGGATTATTTTCCATCTAAATAGGCTTGTGCAGATGGTAGAATATGTCTTCCTGTGATCTGTCTAAACCATGAACCCCAACCCTAATAACAAACCTTCCCTCTGCAGAGCAGTCCCCTCGGGGACCTCGTGATCCTCACAAGGGCCCTGAGAGATCAGAGACACATCCAAAGTCACAGCAAGGAAGTGATGGCGCCAGGATTAGCCCCCAGATTATCTGTGTGGTAGAGTGGCAGACTATACTGGCCTGCTGTTCAATTTTACCTCTGCTGCTCACTAGCTGTGATCTCTGGCAAGCTACTTAAGTGCCCCGGGCTTCCATTTCCTTGTTTACAAAATGGATGTGATATAACAGTACGCACCTCCCAGGGCTCCTCCAAGGGTAAAACAAGTTTACCTACCAGAATGTTTGGTACTCCGTAACTACTCAGTAAAGTGACTTATTATTATTATTAACTAGTCCAGGCTTCTTTCTACCCTACCACACCACCCTACCCAATTATTTGTGCTTCTCTGAAAAGAATAAGGACCCAGGAGACTGAAGGCCGGCTCCAGCTCTCCCCTTTACCCCTTATATTGGGCAAGTCACTGCCCCTCCCTGAGACTTGGTTTCTGCATCTGTAAAATGGGGATGCTGTCAGAGGTCTTGTCACGGACTCTCATGACCCCAGGGGAGAGGATTCATGGGACACCTGTGATGTTAGGAAAAGTTCATTCTGACTGAGGTTCCCATCCCCCATCCCTGCACCATTACTGACACCCCCCCCACCTGCAGGCTCAGCAGCCCTCCAGGCTCTTGCCCCATCTCAGGTAGACAGGGGACCAAGTCACTCTTGCCTCTTAACTGATCTCCATGCGGTGCCCAGATCTACAACCAGAGTCCTGGCTACTCCTGCCTGAGCCCCACGAGCCCCAGTCTCAGAGCCAGGCCCTCCCTGCCTTGGGACCTACATGAGGCTATGAGAGAGCCTGTCTTATCCGGCCCCCACCCCCGCCTAAAGTTCTAACCTGAATCCAGCCCTGATGCAACTACAGCCCACTCACATTTCTCAGAACCCCTTGTCTCTGTCACTACTTCCTGTGTCTTGCCTACCAACCTACAGGGACATCCCGCTACCTTAGGCTGGACCTCAAGGCTCTGGCCAAAGTGTGATCCCCAGCCCCTCACTGTCTGTTAATGTGAAGTATCCAAGACTGCCTTCTGCCTGCACGGCCGGACAGCCTCCCGGAGCTGGTGGCTGAGTCTGTCCATCCAAATTATCCCGGTACTGGGCTTCCCTGGTGGCGCAGTGGTTGAGAGTTCGCCTGCCGATGCAGGGGACATGGGTTCGTGCCCCGGGCCGGGAAGATCCCACGTGCCGCGGAGCGGCTGGGCCCGTGAGCCATGGCCGCTGAGCCTGCGCGTCCAGAGCCTGTGCTCCGCAACGGGAGAGGCCACAACAGTGAGAGGTCCGCGTACCGCAAAAAAACAAAAACAAAAACAAAAACAAATTATCCCGGTACTGCTGGAGCAGGGAGGGGTGTCTGCCTGTCTCGCCCTCCTTCACAGCAGTGAGCCTGACGTGACCAGCCACCATGAGAGGAGTAATAATCGCAACATGTATTGGGTGCTTGTGTGTGCTAGACCAGAGTCTAAGCACCTCATATGTTTACAGCATTAATCCTCACAGCAACACTGTGGGCTGGTGTTGCATCTATCACCATATTACAGATTTAAAAACCACAGCCCAGAATTCTTATATAACTTACCCAAGAGTATATAGCTAGTCAATGGCAAGTTCCAACCCAGCAGCGTGCCTCCAGGGCCCAAACTCTTCATCTTTACTTTGACAGCTAAAGCAGCTGGTCCCGAGCCTTCCAGAAAGGAAGCCTAAATCTCCTGCCCTTCTTAACTCCACCTCTGCCTGGAAATCTAAAATTCCTGCCAGGAAATCTACAATCTGCCAGGAATCCCACTCATCCTCCAGGCTGATGCCAAACAGGGCTGCCTTTCTCCTGAGAGGGCTAAATCCCAGCGCTCTGAACACTCAGCCCCACCTACAGGGGCTCCGAAATCACCCAGCCCCTCTGACAGGAGGCTTCCCTGGCCCCCCTCCCAGCCCATCGTCCATTTGCCATTTGCTCTCCTCTGGCTTTATCAGAGCGTCTACAGCCATGTCTCATCGAAGCCACAACTCCTGGCCCCACCAGTCCCCTGACTGACCTGTTCCAGGACCTCATAAACTCATTAAGACAAAGATGGTCAATCAAGTCCAAAAGCACCAAGAAGCCACTTTCCTCATCACGCACATGTCCTTTCTCTCTCTCTCTGCCACTCACCCCCCATGCCCCAGGTGCCCTCACCTGTCACAATGGGGTAGGACTGCGGCCCCGGCACGCTGCTCCCGATGTCGCCAGGGGTAGGGCTGGTCAGGTTGGCCTTCATGTCGTCCAGCCCTCCAGCCAGTGAGGCCATGGTGGAATAATCGGCGGTCTGAAAGAGGAAACAAGACAGACACCTCAGCACTGAGACTCCAAAGCACCCCAGCCAAATGCCACCACCACGTTCTGGGCTCAGCCAGCTAACCCGTGCCAGTGCCAAGGCCCCCAGGGGGCTCACGGACTCCCGGTTTTGAGAGGGCAGATTCAGCTCGACAGAACAATGCAGGTATCCAGAATCAGCAAGTCTCCCCAAGTGAAGAGGTAGACAAGATTCAGTGCAGCTGCACAAGAATTCAAACCTAGCTTCTTTACGGCCTGCAGGCTTCCCTACCCAGCCCCAGCTAGCCAGACAACCATCCTCTTCAATGCAAGGAGGAGGAGAGAGACATCCATAAGCAAAAGCAAGGCAGAAATAAGAGTCTTGTAGACAAGAGGACAGAAAGAAAGGTTTCTGATTTCTGTGCTCTTAAACCACAGATGTAGAATCACAGAAACAAGGGTTAAAGGGAATTTGGGCCATCACTCAATCCAAAGCCTCATTTCACAGATGAGTAAACTGAGGTGCAAGGGGAAGAAGGCTTTGTTCAAGGTCAACAGGGGATGGTTCACCATAAACGCCCACCCAAAAGCCAATATATCAAAGCATATGAGTCACAGCTGGCAAGTGTTTTTGAATTCCGGAAGCCTGTAAACGCCTGTATGCTGAAAACTGTAGGGTGTGCACATCTGATTTACCAAGTCCACACTAACCACGTGCATTTGGCCCATGAGTCATGCTCCTTTCTTTAAGCCATTTCATGAAATCAGAGCTTGCGATGAGTCATTTCCCTGGCATCCAAACCACTGCCAGAATGGTCTCCAGGCAAGGTTGTGAAGATGCCAACCTGTCTTCCCACTCAAGGACAGACTACGGTATAGGCATGAGTGACAGATCTCTTCCGCACCCCCACTCCCCCGGCCTATCTTCAGTAAAAGAAATATCTGCAAACACCTAAACCAAAGAGTCTAGTTGTGACAAGCATTGGTACAGGGAGTTTCCTCTACCACCCTGGCACTGCCAGTGGAGGACACATTCCTGTCTGTCCAGGGTTATGTCCTTGGCAGAGAGGGACAGGGAAGCTAGTAGTCTTCTGAAAGAAGTTTGCAGGCACCCTGGGAAGGATGATGAGGACTGAGCCACTGGGAGGGAAACCAGAGGAGCCACCAGGCAAGTGGCAGGCAGAAGGGACTCAGGCTCAGGCACGTTCCTGGCACTTTTCTCTGCAAATGAATTAGAAAGTACTGCCAGGGCAGCTCAGATGCCAAGCGGGGTGCATGGCAGCCGTGAGTCCAGGAGGTACTGCAGGCCCAGGCACCCTGAGATGGATTCTTGTCCAGAGCTCCCGGGGCTCTCCACCCGTCTCCAACAGAGGTTGATTCTAAAACACACAGAGACGAACACAGGCCCAAAGCCAGCCCAGGTAGGACAAGATGGGGGACAGGCCTCCCTGACATCAGGAATCACTATAAAGCTGCAGTAATTAAGAAAGTATGGGAATGGCACAGGCACAGAAAAATAGGCCAATGAAACAGAATCAAGTCCAGAAATGGATCCATGCATATATGGAATCTTGATATATGAGAGAGGTGATGTACAAATCAGCAGGGAAGGATAAAACTCTAATAAAAAATGCAGGATATCCAGTTATCCATTCAGAAACAAGGGGGAAAAGAGAAATTGGATCTTTACACCAGACACAAAAATCAATTCCAGGTGGATTAGAGACCTAAATGTGAAAGGCAAAGGTATCTAACTAACATGGTCAGCTCTAGGTCCAGCCAAAAATCCTTGGGAACAAGTCTGTCCTTCACGGAAAAGGAAACAAGTGGCCCTGGGATGTTCACGCAGAGTTCCTGGTTGCTGTGAGGACAGCAGTGGGTCCTGGTCAACCTGCTGCCTTGCTTCAATGCCTCCTCCTCCAGAAAGTCCTTCATGACTACCACTCCCCAGGAAGCAGGAATCCCAAGTGGTACCAGGACAATAAAAACCATAATCTTCACGACCTTGTCAAAGCTCACATTTATCGATCACTTACTCTGTGGCTGGAGCTTTACCTATATTATCCCATTTAATCCTCACAATTACTCCATGTAGTAGGTTCTGTGTTATTCCTATTTTACAGATGAAGAAACTGAGACTTCTATTATAGAGGGAAAGTGCTTGCCTAATATCACACGGCTTCCAGGTGCCAGAGCCAGGATACAAACCTGGGTACATCTGACTCCAAAATCTCCACAATTACCCTAATGATTTTCCTATTGCGTTCTAACCCTTTAACAGGTATGAAATCACTTTGCTAGTACCAACCTTTTAAAACAGAAAATAGAGTAGTCTAGAAGAGAAATTTTCTAAGAGTCTCACACATAGAAAGAGTAAGTCCTGTTTCATTAATCTTTGTTTCCATGTAAGTGGATATGTGTGTACTAGGTGGAGATGACAATGTATTTCTTGCTACAGGTCACACCCAGCAGAGTCTTCATCCCATAAAGCAGGGAGCTATTGGGAAAAGGTCACTGTCTAGACTTTATCCTATGCAGAATGGGACGTGGTCACAACATTAGCCCCCTAATTAGCTTAAAAAATTAGAAAGTAAAGCTCAATGGAAGCTCCTCCTTCAGTGCATTGTCGTGTGCAAAGACAGGAGGTCAAGATGCCTCTGTGAGGGTCTCTGGGGTTTCTGGGACCCTGGGGTGAGGACCGCACCTCCCATTTCCCTATGTTCCTGTGTCCTACTGGAGGCCTGAGCATGGTGGATGCTTAGCATTTATTGAGCTTTTCTTGTGTGCAAGATGGCACGTTAAGACCAGACATGCTCTCTGACCTTTATCCACAAACCTCAAGGGAAAAGACACGTGGCCCCGAAGCTCCATCCAACAGGGACAAGGGCACAGAGCCATTCATTTACATGGCACAGGAAGTGGTAAGGAAAGGTTTCTTGGGCAGGCTGTATTTATCCTGGGCCCAAGCAATCCCTGACCACCCGCCTCAGGCTGAGAAGAGCTGAAGGAACGCGTAGAGGTGAGACAGGAGTGATCCAAAAACAAGGCACATGCCAATAGCTGCAGGGGGAAGAGGTGGAGATGAAAAAGTAGACAAGCTGGGATTCGACTCTGAAGAGCTGGTGCAATGAACACTTGGATGAGCAAGTGAATGAATGACCCCTTATCCTCAGGAGAGCCAGGCAGCATCCTAGCCAAGAGTAGCATCCCTGCAGCTCTCCCCACCCCACTACCAGGCCTGGCCCCTTCCTAGACTCCAGGCTAGGCAGCTGGGTCCACAAGGGAAAGCCTCTAATTCCCAAGAAAACATAGCCAACCTGGGTTTAAGAAAATGGGGAGAGGGTGGCCAATCCTGCCTCTTATTTAACGTCCAGATGGAGGGGCCTTTTTGTTATTTGATTTTGTTTTAGTCAATAAATTCAGTATCGAGGTTTGTCCAGTCACTTCAAAAGTTGGCTTTGAATCATCTTTTCAAGACATGAAAATCTTCAACTTGTGTAACGCATGCAGTGGAAGGTCCAAAAACCCAGTTTCCCAACCACCGATGGTTGCCAGAAGGTAAAGTGAACTTTCCTAAAGAGCTGGGGCTCAGGGGACAGCTGGATTCATAAACCAGCTCTCACTGGCCTTTGCCATTTGTACCTCCCACCACCCCACCTAACAGGGCTGGCCTTGAGCCCAATCTCTTTCTTTGCTGGGATTCCACAGCTCTTGCTCTGCTCCTTCATGAATCAGGGGATGCTGTCATTTCATTTGCTGTGTAATTATTCCCTAATTTCTCACCACTGTCTGTCCCCCTGAGCTGCCTAGATTTTTAAAGGCAACTGCATTCTCCCCGGTCTCCTGGGATCCCTGGAACCTCGTTCCACTGGCTGCTCCTCAGCCACTCCAGGTACTGTCCTACCTCTGCCTGGGAGGCCCATCTCACTCAGCCACTTAAACCCCTACATTGTCCACAAGACCCAGCTCAGATGTCACCTCCTTAGTGCAGCCATTCCTGGGCCCCACATTCCTACCAATAAATCATGATTTCCTTGTCTATGTTTCCACAATTGGTGTCATTTTGCACAGACCTCTATTTTCATACTTCCCACCACATGTAATGGCTGTTCATCTGTCTCCCTCCAGGTTGCCTTGAGAGCACAGAGCATGGAACAGCACCAGAGCCCCCTAAGTGCTTGTTGAATGAATGAATTCATGGTCCAGCAGCATGACATTTTACACAACATCCAAAACTTAGCTGGGGAGTGTTCAAACAAGAGCTCCAAATAACATGCTAACCTCTCACCTCTACCCTTCATCAAGTCAGGTGATCAGAAAACAGCATCCTTGTCTACCATGAGATGAAGTCCCTGAGGAAGTGACTTCACTGGTCTGTGACAGAATATCAGGAATTTAACACTGATTAGAGGCAATAAAAGAAAACAGCCATACAAAGAACTTTAAAAAAAAAAACAAACAAACTCTGGAGATGTGTCCATTAGAATATTCAAATTCCATGTGAATCTCTCCTATAATTCATTACCAGAAAAAAGCTTTTTCTCCTGACAACTGGTTAATTTGCCTCTGATTGAACAATAGGAACATTGGAAACCACTATGTATCCCTCTTTGTCTTGGCTGCCAGGAAGACCAGTCAAATTCAGTGCTCAATCACCACAACTACATCAATGCTGGCGCCTCCTGCAATGATCTTACTCTCTCCTCTGCACAATTTCTGAACTTTTTTCAGCCTTAACTAACTTAGATATATGTAATTGTTTATTTTGCAGGACAAGTCCTTTTTGAAAATGGAGGCTGGGAGAGGTAGAAAGAGTGACAGAAAAAGAAAATGGGAGGGAAGACCAGGAGGGGGAAAGAGAAGAGGAGAGAATACATTACTGGGGTCTCTTTTCTTGGTAACAGTGGTATCTATTTCCATATCGCATAGTTACTTGGGAAGCCAAGGGCTGAACAGTGGGGTTGTGTTGGTGCACCTATGTCCTTGGGAACATAGCCCCCATCCTCCCTCCAT